GTTGATTTCTGGGACTCCCATGTGCCTGATTCACCTCTCCATGCTGAAAACCAAGCAACTGGCTCTGGCTCTGTGTTGGCACCTTTCCCTCCAGTCAGAGGTGCCTTGTTTTCCAGTCAACCCAAGAATTCAGTTCATGAAAAGAGGACCTTTTTTTCCTCCACCTCTGCAAGGAAAATGGTATGGAACACCTGGAGATTATTTTCCACCGGCCCCACCACCCACTCCATTTCCAATGCAAAATATCTATGCAGGGAGGTGTTTTTCTCATGACCTTCCCCCAAAAGATGGAATTTGACCCCCCACCCTGGCATTCTGAAGGGTTCCTTCCACCTGCAAATGATCCTGTTACTCTATATCCAGAACCAAACCAGAAAACTGATGTTGTTTCTCTCTCTTAAAAAGTAATTTGACTTATCTCTCATTTTTAGTTTTTAAATAACTGCTTTTACTTCAGTAATTGAACATACTTTGGCTCCAATTGAAGCTCAATGGAACTATAATTCTTAAGATAGAATATTGTAAATAAAGATGGAGTAAAAAAAAGGAGTCTTATAAATAAATTATTCCTATTTTATTTTATTACAGAATACAGTATTTAATCTGATGAAGCCACTATTACATAAACAACAATGGGAGTTCTAGGTACCTGTAATCTAGCTGATGGAAATATATTTTAAACTCCCAACAATGGTAGTCCCTTTATACAAAGAAGTGTATTTAGTATGATTGTAGCAAATGTGAAGTGACTTTAGGCTTAATGAAAAATTCTCATTGATTTACAGACTTGTTTGTCATATCAGCTTGTTTTCCCATATCAGAATAACTGGAACAAGGGAAGAGTAAATGAGAGAATACAACTAAACATGTCACAGAAACAGGAGATCTCAAATAAAAAGAAAAATGAAGATCTCATGGAACGTTTTGGAAGTAAAAACCACACTTTAAACTCACTCTGCTCCCCTTTTTCCCTTCTGTCAAATTCCTCATCATCATCATCCTCCTTGTCCTCCTCCTCTCCTCCTCCTCCTCCTCCTCCTCCTCATACCTTTAATTCATTCATCATACACTCATCCATTGGTTCATTCATTCATTTCACATATGGTGCTGAGGATCGAACTCAGAGCCTTTGCAAGTGTGAAGCCAGCACTCTAGTGCTGAGCCAATACCCCAGCCCCTGTCTTTTTTAATTTATGACTGTTTGTATGAAATTCAGTATTGCATTCTGCTATGGTTCACTGAAATGTGGATTGACCTAGTCTTTGTTTTGTTTTCTGGGAGACTTTTGTAAAATACACATGAATTATTAGGACATTGGAATGAAGGAACAAAGAGAAAATTCTCCAATTTCTTATTCTTAGATTCCATTCTCTGACTCCGCCAAACTACGATAAAAATTTTTAAACTCTTACTCTCGATTTCTATATCATTGCCAACAAGGGAACATTCACTGACCTGCACCAATCCAGAGAACACACATTGAACAATGTTTCCCCATTAGAGACCAAGACACAATACTTATTAAAAAATACCCAAAATATGAATTAGTAGTGAAAGCTTTATTTGAGTCTTAAGTATGCTCTAATTATGTGTTTGTGTGTGTGTTGATGTGTGTGTGTGTTTGTGTGTGTGCGTGTGTAAAACATGCACTGAGGTGTAAAATAAATGCAGGATTACAACTGCCTTCTTATAAATAAGAAGCAGCTTTATCACATTTGATGGCCAATTAAGAATCTGCCTGATACTTGACCCACAATTAATTGAAATGTAAAAAATTTGGGCCTAGGAAAAGAAAGACAAAATACTTAATAAATCTAATAAGTCTATCTCACCTGTTTTCAAATCAGTCCTTTAAATAACCCTAAATTGCCAGCATAAAACATCAGTTGCTCTAAACCAGTGGACGGATGTCCCCAGTTATGGGATCTGTGAAATAAACAGAGGATCCCTCACTGATTGTTATCTAGAACAACTTCTGCCTGAACTACTATTGGAGAATAGTTTGTGATATACTTCGGTTATTATACCAGTAAATTGGAATGAAGGTAATTTCAGGTTGCAAACTAATAAATTGATTTTAATAACTGTTTTTTTGGAAAACACTGACATGAAAAATAATCAATATGTTTATAATGGCATCTACATGTCTCTCCACATGGTTTTACTTAATGGGGAAGGGGGTGATGTCTCTATATAACTTAAATATCCATTAGTAGTTAGAACAATATAATGTGAATCACAGTGCACTAACCAGGTGAACTCAATCTAGGTAACATGGATTCATCTCTGTGTAATAGGCCTGCTTCTGAAAAAAACAATGTAGAGCTCCAAAAACAGAACAATACTTTCAGAATACCATGTTATGTTTGTACATAGATAGACAGATAAACAGATAGATATACAGAAATAAAAATCTGAAAAAGGTCTGGAGTATATATTTCAATAACTTAAAATCTCAGTAGTGGGGGTTACTAGCAGATCAATAGGACTGTATCTGCATGCGAAATGGTTCAATTTTTAAAGAGTTTTTAAAATGACAATGGACAAAAAATTAAAAGGGTTACAGTAAGTGTTGAGGTGTGACATGGTAAAAGGAGCACAGAGGTGAGAAAAAATTAAGTACAGTTCAATAGAACCAGGTATAATATCTGTACACATGACTCTATAAACAGGAGAAAAGAGGACACTTAAAAAAATCAAAAGGACTAAGGAGAGATCAGGATTAGGGAGGTTTGTAGCGAGAGCTGAAAAAAACCAAAACCATGCAATGGGCAGAAAATGTGGAAGAAAAGGCCTCACAGGTGGTAAACTGATCCATCTCTCCCTGGTGGTTCAACAGTATGAATAACAGATAGGCCAGCTAAGTGGGAAAGTACTTGAAAACTGTTTATACAGACAACAGAAAGTGCTACCAGAGTGGCAAAGTGAACATAGTAAGGCAGCGTAACCCCTTCAACTTGTTGTTTTATGCCAGCTATCTTTCTTACTGTGCCTCTGTTGATCTACACTGATACGTGTTAGGACCAAAGGCAATGACAAAACATTGTTACATGTATTGATGAATCCTGCCAATTTCACAAAGCACAGCCATTTTACTTAGTGTTCTCAATACCTTATTTTTGACTCTCATCTTGTTTGAAGAAACACTTTGAGAGGAAAGAAGTTCTCCCGAAGCCACGTGTGTCCTTTATTAAACTTTGAATTGATTGCTATTTCAAGATGTTTGGGCTGGTTCCTCAACAAGACCCGTAAAACCTAGAAAAGTGTCATGCACCAACAGGCAGTATGTCTTCAGTGAGTCTTGTCCTTTGCACACCAGGGTCACCTTATTGTCCATTTAATGGTCAGAAAAACAGTGTTACAGTGAGTATCCTTCTTAGTAGTATGACTAAAGTGTTTTGAACTCGCATGTTCAGATAGTGAAAAGTCTCAGGGAAGTCAACTTGAAAGCCAGTCATTCCATACAATGCTGCAGAGGAAAACAAGCTACTCTCCTTTGGCAAGTTTTAGACACTGATACAGCTCTGGCCATGTAATCGTAAATAAAAACAGGTCTAATCATGCATGGTGGCCTATAGGCTTTGAACTTGCATGCTTACAAAACCAGTGATTACTTGTGCATCTTCTCCTTTGAACCTCATATGTGACTCATCAACAAGTGAAGTGTTAACTTGGGAGAAAAACAATATGTTTGGATGTCCTTTGTGTACATCAAGCCATAAAATCTTTGTCTTAACATCAACAATATAATTCACGTTCAGGAGTTACATCCATTTCAGAGAGTCAAATCCATCTTTCTCTTGGCTATATATTTATAAGGACCAGCCAGCTTTTTTAGATGTTTTCAAGCACATGAAGAGTCCAAAGAAAAGAATATCTGAAAGAAAAATTTGAAGAAATTTCAACAAATACTAGTCTAGAAATGCTGACATGAAAAACGACTAAAGTTTTCGACTCTTTCTTTTTAGGAACATTAGCTGTGCTGTGCTTTTCAGAAATGACTTGTCATAACTGATTTGTGCCCATGTTAGCAACTCTTCTAAAATTACTTTGAAAGTAGACTAATGTGAGAGTTTTTCTTTAGAAATAATTCAAATTACTTGCATAGAAAGTGTCAGCAGGTCTGGGGATGTAGCTCAGTGGCAGTGACCTTGCCTGTCATGGGGACAGAAATGGACTTTCATCCCAAACACTGCAAGAAAACAAAAGGGAGGGAAGGGAGAGAGAAAGATGGAAGGGAGGGAGGCAAAGATGGAGGGATGGATGGAAGTAGAAAATAAGGAAGAAAAAAAGGAGAAAAACCAGGAAGGAAGGAAGGAAGGAAGGAAGGAAGGAAGGAAGGAAGGAAAGAAGGAAGGAAGGAAGGAAGGAAGGAAGGAAATAGGGAGAGCACAAGGGCAGGGAAAGGACTGAGTCACTAAAACAAAAGGCAAGCAACACAAATACAAATATAGGCCATAAAACCAGTTTGAACAGTTTAGACAGCTTTAGAATTTGAGTGACATCAAACTAAGTGTTATTATGACTGAATGGAATCTTCATACTAAGCCCTGCCTTGGCCTGGCCTAAATCAAATCAAGGTGTGGGTAGTATTTAGAGGAATTCTCTCTGGCTGGAGTGGGTGGGACCTAAGGCTGTGGCACTCGAAGATGCACTGGGTAGGGAAGGGGACAAGACTCCCCTGATGGGCAGTTGAGCACAACAAGGCTCCTGGGAGACCTTGATCATAGCTCCCACCACCATATGCTCACCACCCGTCATATGCTCAGCCCCTGAAGGGGATCACAGTGGTCTTCTCCATTGCCTGGTGCAGGTTTGAGTTCCTGAACAAACACCTGAGTGTCTGTAGCCTGTGTAGGCCTGTCTGGGAAGGCTGTGGTTGTGGTGGTAAGAGCCAAATCCATTTTGGTGTGATAGAGGAGCCAAGGGCTGCCTCTCAGCCATACTAATGGGTGGTTCTGAAAGAAGCACCCAAGGTTGTGGCAGCATTTTCTGAAGACATGAAGCCAGGCCATCTTGCTTATGGCTTTCCTTGGGAGTTGGTGATGTGTACAGCTCTTAGATTTTTTGCTATTCTCTCACTTTTCTGGAGAAGTTTTCAGTCGGTTAGTAGCAGGCTTTACGTGGGAAGAGAAAAAAAGCTGGCTCTAAATCTTGCTGGACTTATTAAAGAAAACTGTGGACTTCTTGAAAAAGTTAGCCTTGTTCAAGAAGAACATGAAGGCTTAGACTCATGTTAAAAAAATGCAGGTTTGAGAAGGGTTCAAGGGAAGCACTACATCTGGAGGCAACCTACGAAAAGCTGCATAAGTCCAAATCCAGCCATGGGGTTGAAATGCTTTTTCTAGAAGAAGAGCTAGAAGCACAGAAAGCTAAACATGGTCAACAGGATGAAACGATGGCACATATATCAAGAAGGATACAGTCCCTGGAGGGGGAAGCTAAATCCCTGAGATCACAAATAGCTGAAGCTAAAACAAACATGAGACTCTTTTAAGTGAATGGGGAAGGACTGAAGCTGGCAATCAAAGAGGCTTTGAATGAAAGTTCCCAACTTCAGCAAAGGAAGAGACCAACAATACAAGGAGAAGCTGAAGCACAGAGGGAACAAGTAATTGTCCAATATAAAGCAAAAATCACATTGGAGGACTCTAAAGTAGCTGCAGAACAAGTTCTAAGAAATACAGAAAATCACATGGAGTCTTCAAGTGAATGCTTACTGAAGATGAAAGATAGGTCTTCTCCAAGCATGGGAGCCCAAAGGGATGGTGTTCACCTGGCATTGGGAAGGATGAGTGAACCAGAAATTGGTGCTCACTTGGATGATGAGTCCAAAGGAGCTTTGAGGAAACTGGTTTATGTTGCTAAGCTAAAGGCCTCCTTAGAAACCTTGGAAGGAGAAAGAAATAAAAAATGTACTTTCTCATCTGAAGTGGAGAAAACCACAGAAGACCTTACAGAACACCTTAAACTCTGCAGACTGAACAGGCATCTTTGCAGTCGGAAAATGCACAGCTTGAAAGTGAGAATGAGACCCTACAGAAGAAGTTTAAAGTCATGATGGAACGCTATCAAGAAAATATGATGAAAATGCATAGGAAATGAAGAGTGGAGGAAAACTACCAGGTATAGGGAGAGGAGAAACTTTCCAAAGTCAAAGAAAAGATGAGCCATACAATGGAAGAGCTGGAGACCTACAGAAAGTGAGCCCAATATCTTGAAGAAGAATTAGAGACTACCATTTATTCCTGTCTGGGACAGATTATTTCCTCTGAGAAAGAAGCACATACTAGTGAGTTGGCAGATCGGATTGCTGAAAGCAACCTCAGTTATTTCAGGAAACAAAATGCTCGCAATGGACAAAAATTAACTGAGAAGGAGCTTAGATTTGAACTTGTAGGAAAAGATCTGTATGATGCACTGGATATTTCCAACTCAGCAATGGGCAGAATGCCTTCTCCAAATTGGCCATCACCAATGGGTCAGCCTTCATCTGAAAGGAGACCTCCTCATTTTGAGAAGAATGGTCCACTCCCACTCTCACCTGTCACTCCAGTGGGAGGAGCAAGAGGGTCAAGGGGCCCCGAGAATTTTCTGTACCATGTAACTAGCAGTGAAGGAAGAGAATCCAGCTGTGATAAGTTAAAGCAAGGTATTTAAATGACTCCATGAACAGGAAAAAAGAGGACACTTACAAAAATCATAAGGACTAAGGAGAGATCAGGATTAGGGAGGTTTTTAGGAAGAGATGAAAAAACAAAAGCATGCAATGGGCAGAAAATGTGGAAGAAAAGGCCTCACAGGTGGTAAACTGATCCATCTCTTCCTGGTGGTTCAACTGTATGAATAACAGATAGGCCGGCCAAGTGGGAAAGTACTTGGAAACTCTGTTTATAGAGAAAACAGAAAGTGCCACCAGAGTGGCAAAGTGAACCCAGTAAGGCAGCTTAACCCCTTCACTTTGGTGTTTTATGCCAGCTATCTTTCTTACTGTGCCTGTGTTGATCTACACTGATATATGTTAGGACCAAAGCATTGTTACATGTATTGATGAATCCTGCCAATTCCACAAAGCACAGCCATTTTACTTAGTGTTCTCTATACCTTATTTTCGACTCTCATCTTGTTTAAAGAAACACTTTCAGAGGAAAGAAGTTCTCCCAAAGCCACATGTGTCCTTTATTAAACTATGAATTGAGTGCTATTTCAAGTTGTTTGGGCTGGTTCCTCAACACGGCCTATAAAACCTAGAAAAATGTCATGCACCAACATGCAGTACACCTTCAGTGAGTCACTAGGGTCACCTTATTGTCCATTTAATGGTCAGAACAATATTGTTGCAGTGAGTATCCTTGTTAGTATGACTGAAGTGTTTTTGACTTGTATGTTCAGATAGTGAAAAGGCTCAGGGAAGTCAACTTCAAAACCAGTCATTTGTGGGTTGTGGATGGTGCTCAAGCAGTAGCGCGCTCGCCAGCCAGCATTCAGCCTGGGTTTGATCCTTAGCACCACATACAAAGATGTTGTGTCCACCTAAAACTGAAAAATAAATATTAAAAAAAAATTCTCTCTCTCTCTCTCTCTCTCTCCCTCTCTCTCTCAGTCTCTCTTTAAGAAAAAATAAAGAAAGCCAGTCATTTGATACAGGTGCTGGAGAGAAAAACAAGCTACTTTCATTTGGCAACTTTTAGCTCTGGCCATGTAAGCATATGTAACCATAGGTAGAATCATGCATGGTGGCCTATTGCCTTCGAAGTTGTCATGCATGTAGAGATATTTAGAAAACCAATAACTATTTGTGCATCTTCCCCTTCAAACTTCATATCTGACTCATCAACAATTCAAGCATAACCAGGGATAAAAAATATTTTTGGATGTCCTTTTTGTACATCAAGCATTGAACTCTTTATCTTCACAACAACATAATTTACCTTTAGGAGGTAAATCCATTTTAGAAAGTCATATCTATTTTTCTCATTTCTATGTATTTATAATGATGAGCTTCCTTAGATATTTTCAAGACCATGAGAAGTCAAAAGAAAAGAACATCTGAAAAAAGATTTTGAAGAATCTTTAATAAATACTAGTCTATAAACACTGACATGAAAACCAACTAAAATTTTCAATTACTTTTTTTTAGGAACATTAGCTATGCTATGCTGAGCTATTGAGAAATGACATGCCATAACTGATTTGTGCCCATGTTAGCAACTCTTTAAAATTACCTTGAAACTAGACTAATGTGAGAGTTTTTCTTTAGAAATAATTCAAATTACTTGCATAGAAAGTGTCAGCAAATCTGGGGATATAGCTCAATGACAGTGAGCATGCCTACCATGTGGATGGACTTGGACCGTAATCCACAACACTGCAAGAAAAGAAAAGAGAGTGAAGGTACAGAGAATGATAGAAGGGAGGGAAAGAGGGAGGAATGGAGGAAGGGAGGGATGGAGGGTGAAAATAAGGAAGAAAAAAAAAAGGAAGAAAGAAAAAAGGAAGCATGTAAGGAAAGATGAACTCGATATAGGACAAAGGAGAAAAGGGGAGGGAGGAAAGGAAGGGTGCATGGGTGTAGGAAAGACACAGGGATTAGCTGGACATTATTACTCATAGTACATGTATGGAGACATAAATGGTATGACTCTACTTTTTGTTCAACCAGAGATATGAAAAATTGTACTCTGTGTGTAATATGAATTATAGTACATTCTGCTGTCATACATAACAAACTAAAATTGTAAACAATGGTGGAAAAAAAGGATGACTCTATCATAAACTTCAACTTGAGAAGTTAAGATGATGGGTAACATCTTAGCAAAGGGAATTATTCTCTGAACATCATTTCAGGTTCAATCTTCAGTGGGGACTTAACATCCTAGCAATCTTTCAGCAGCGATGGCATCCATCATCTTTGGAGCCACTCAAATCAACTCATTTTGTTTAGCATATTACAACACCAGGTATGCTCTCAAAGTGTCTCCAAAAATCCCATGGGAGGGCACTACACACTCACAACCTACAATGAAACCTCACCAGAACGTGTCAAAGTTCACAGGCTTGTAACTGATCTCCCAGGGACATGGTACCTAGGTCTAGTCCCTGCTCTTTCTTGACTGTGAACTACTGGAGGTTGGAGGAGCATCATAGAAGCCTCAGAAAACCCTCTATGATGCAGAAACCCAGCACTGCAAAAAGGTTGGTGCAGCTCGGAGAGTTCTCCGAGGTAGAGTTTTGGGACAGTTTACTTTTCAAAGACCCCAGCTGCCAATCTTCTTGTGTATCATTCCTTCCCCTTTTTATTAACATCACCTTGAAATTTTGCTCTGTATTTAGGAGGGATCAGCCTCACTGCTAACTCTTTCCTTCCTCTTTAAAGACACATCCATCAGGAGCCACATCAGTGCAAAGACACTCCTTTCAATGTAACTCTTCATTCATTCTACAAGAGAAATAAAGACAAGGAGAAAGAAAAGTGTAAGCATTTTAACACCTTAGACTAAGATCAACTCAATTTATCATTAAATTCAAATCTATATAGAGCTACAAAGTGAAAAGCTCTAAAAATCACACCACAGCATCATAATGTTGATCAACCACTGAGAATGTTCACACACTCAGTGAACAGCTTCATAGAGGTACACAAGACACAGAAGACAAAGATCAACATTTAAAATATTTTTTCCTTTTAAATAGGAAAATTTAATTCTGTTCTGTTATGTTGCTGAAGTTGTACCAGCTTCTCAGGGCAATACAAGCACAGAGAAAACAGAATAAAGTCAATGGATCCAAGTTTAGGGTCTGTGATCTTGAGAGGAGGAGCTGGAAATTTTGAAATAAAAAGAAAACTATGTACTTCAGTTACATCATACATCTAAAACCTACAACAGTGATTTCTTGTGTTAGTTGTTTTTGTTTTCCCTTCCCCAAACTTCACTGTTAATCTGACAAAATATGCACGCACGCATGTACACATGCACACACACACACACTGTCTCCCTCCCGCCTCTTGGAAACAACCACAAACAATTAAAAAATCTTTGCAGATTGCCAGAAAATGGTCAGAATCGCTGCATGACCTCTGGTGCTCAGGCACTGCAACTATGCATAATTCTGTTGCAACACCAAGCACAATACCTGCCTCCAGGTTGTGGGAGTGCTGATGAATGTGTGTCTGTTGTCAAGTGACAGATGAATGACTATCACAACAAATAATCTGATTAGCCCAATCTGATTGGGTCAGGGAATGGTGCAACTTGCTCCTGAAGAACACATGATTCCTATGTATGTGAAGGACCATTGTCATATGCAGAAACTATAACATTTTTAAAGAAGCCAGTCACTTAACTTCCACTCCCAGGGGAAGATTCTTCATATGAGTACCAGAATACTCTTCTAATACTAAGAACTTCACAGACTAAAGCATCATTAGTATTTAAGAACATCTACATTGCTTCAAACTTATTCCTATTAATGTGAATCCAGTAAATCCTAAGTTTTAGAGTATGTAAAGCTAAGTCCAACAATTACATTTACCTTACTTTTCTGTAGGTAGTGTGTGATGAAAGTGACAGATGATGATTTTAACTTCTGTAGAAGTTATGATACAACTTTATCACAACAGAGCATGTGCCTACCCTGTTCCTGCACTTGCTTGTGGAAAAACTTAAGGATCACCTCCTGCCTTCTCTCTAAATATTTGAGTCCAGGGGTCAGCATCTTTAATTTTTCTCTGCTTTTCTTTGTAAGGCAATCATCTCTCTCTCTCTCTTGTGTATTTTTATGTCTGCACAGAAGCATTACATTACTTTTACTCTTCCTTCTTCTCCCACATAGAAAATAGGACTATAATGACATATGTGTTCCTATGCTTTCTTGACTAATGCTTTGTTTCTTTTGTATTTTTTATTTTTCCAAATGAATTCACTTGCTATTTCCATAAGTGATATTTTATACTTTTGCAT